AGTGAGTGACAACTTTTTTTCATCACAATGCTTATGTGTCTCTATACAGTTAGCTTTGCTAATATTGCGTCAACAGAGCTTACCTTTCTTTGAACTACTTTTCTAAGTGACGATAAAAGTAAGTTCCTCATTTAAACCTTCCCTAAAGTTAAGACAGAAGCTCACAATGCAAATAATGTGAGAAGAACACAGAGCTTATCTATCAGTGAGGCAGATCTTGATAGTCATAATGATAAAATAAAATCAAGATGAGCTAAATACTCCTTCTTAATATTTAATTTTAAACCAGTTTACCAGTTATTTGACCCATTGCAGCTTACTGGGTTTTTAAGGGTTTTTTTCTCTTTCTATGCCAGCTTCCTTGTGATGGTTGGATTTATTTTTTTTATTCTACATCGGAATATGAGAATGTGATATATTACATATGGTAAAAAAATATTTTGGGTTATATTTAGTTATTGGGGTTTTTTTTACCCATTTTTTGAGTTAATTTGTATATCTGTCTTGTTTTATTTAGGTCACATGGAGGGAGGGGGAAATTCTGCAGTATAAAATTGTATAAATAAAAATCTACTTCAAGCTCATAGAGTTAGAAGGCTTCAACCAAATGGATTGAAAAACAAAAGTAACTGCAAAATGGCTGATATTTATTTTGCTACATGAATGAAGTGATGTGTAAGGGTGTTTGACAAACATGCTCAACAACGTAATGAAGATACATACGTTAGTTATCTGTATGTATCTTTACATTACATTATTGTAAGGCAGGGGTGTCAAAACTTTTTGTCACATAGACCAAAACAGTCAAGTCAAAAAGAGTCGCCACCAAAAAAATGTTAAAGTAAATTAAAACAAAACACTGTCATTTGTTTTTTTTTAGTTATTGTGCAATATTAAATGAGTAACAGGATGTGTAAAGTGATGGGTATTTTTCTCGAACCTATATAAAAGAACCACTGACAACGTATATGAATTTTATGGCCAAGCTTTTGCAAAAGGAGAAGTCTCTGGTAGCAGCTCCTCCAAGCCGTTCACAGAGCGTTCTGCTCTCCTTCCGCGTGAGCCCCTGTTTTATTGTAAAGGAAACAGTCAAGGGAGCAGTCAAGAAAAACAACAGAGGTCATAAAACTTCTAACCTAAACAACTAGCAACCCAGTTCCAGGTGTGATATCTGATCTATGGTCTGAGCCCGGTTCAAATCTCGGTCAAACTGTTAACAAGACAAAATACGACTGCTCACAGGCAGTTAGGAGGTATTCTGGTTGATAAGAATTTAAGGTCTGGGAAACACAGAGTTAACTGTTTCACATGAAGATGAAACAGATAGTCCTGACCTCCAGGTCAGTTCATACACACATAAGGAAGAGAACACTTTAAACAGAAAATCACAACGATCTATAGACTGAATGTGACTAAAGTAATAACAAAATGATAATACCGAAAATTCTCTAACATAAAGTATTGCAGATCCAAAACAGGAAAAGCATTTTGCAGGTTGACCTCATTAAAAGACAAGGGTGAATTTTAAAATGTCTCTACTGTAAATAATGACTTTTTTGTCGATTCTGAGCAATAGAAATGGGATTTAGGTCACTTTTACAGAAACATATATGACCAAGTTTAATAAATTCATTAAAGGCAGATCTGGATACATTAAAGCCTGCTGTGTTTGTTGTCAACATTTTCTGTTGTAAGATTTTAATTTGTAATAATTTTACCCTGATTAAAAATAAAAAGTCTCCATCTACATCAACTACTTTTTCAAAGAGGGGATCAATTTTTAATTGCACTCATGGTCTGCACAAAGTCAGTCCAGGGGCTACAGATGGCACCCGGGGCACACTTTGGGCACCCCTGTTGTGAGGTGACTTGAAGCATTTGCATTGCTGTGCTCTTTCCATCCACCGTGTTTCCACTGCTCCCTCCTCATCGTCACTCGGAGCGTTTCAGGAGTTTGGACAGGAATAACGATCAGATCTTGTTTCTTGCAGCATAACTCCATCCTGGGTAGTGTGTTTGCTGACTTCTACGACCAGCAGCTGCCATCCATTCAGGCCAGCGTTCTCTCACAACAGGTCCATCCTGTGTGTGCGTGCGTGCGTGTGCGCGTGTGTGTGTATTCACAAAAAGAATTCCAACGCAGTTGGAATGGGAAATGTTTTCTGTGACTTCCAGTTGGAGCAGTTCAACATGATGGAGACCCCCATAAGCTCTGACGGCCTGTACAGCCAGACCTCCACCCTCAACTACTCCCAGGCTCTTATGATGGGTTTGACCGGCCACTGCAACCTTCAGGACTCCCAGCAGCTGGGCTACAGTAGCCATGGCAACATCCCCAACATCATTCTGACAGGTGCCACTTCAACATTTTGTCCAGACTGGTTAATGCAGAAATCTTCAGTTCCGTCTGAAACTGCAGACTTCTGTATGTGAGCCTCATGTTGTTAAACTGTCTGAGTCCATCCAGTCTGCACACCTGATCACTTCCTTAAGCTGATTTCAGGCCTTTCTGCTTGACTTAACATCAGTACAGTGCTTGTGATTGATTTTGGATTAATCAGTTAATAGCTGGACAGCTAAAGGAGCCTAGTAGCAGATTTTTTAACAATAATTTGAACAAAGTGAAGCTAAAACTGTAACATTTGAGGAGTTTTGAGTAGAACAGATTTACAGACAAAGAGTTTTAGGTTTGGTTAGGTCAGGGGACTTTATTTACCCAAAGGTGGATTTGGTTTGCAGTGGTTCAAATCATACATATTCATACACACATGTGATGTGTTCTTACACTGTGAAAAGTAAGAACACATCACATAACCTTTGACAGATAAAATGATTAATGGTCCACGAGTCATATTCAAAGCAAAGTAAGACCCAGAAGAGGAGAGTATGTAATTAATATAAGTATTGTGTTGAAATAAGAATATTAGCATAAAACTGAGAGCATTGATGCAGCAGTGGGAACAAAGCTGTTTTTAAAGCGTCTTGTCCAACATTTAGGGACTAAAAACCTCTGACTGGAGGGAAGAAGCTGAAAGTTTCTGTTAAGGGGATGGAAAACAGAAGAAGCTTTCTGCTGTAGCCAGCTGATATACAGGAATGCTCAGTTTCAATTTAGACAACAGCTTAACAAACTACTGGTTGAAACTCTAGTTCTCTGCAAAATGTATTTATTTTTTGTGCAGTTTTGGCTTCCTTATTCTGACTGAAGGGTTCTTTCTTTGTTGTTCTTTCAGCAAAAGACCTTTTTTAATGTCTGTATAATATTAATACTAGATTAGTTGATAATCCATCATAATTAATGAGATTAAGCCAGGGCACTGTTTTATCTTCCTTCACATGATCCTTTCTATTATATTTAACTCTGGAAATTTTCCTTAGTGCACCAAAGACTTAATTAAAACCAATATTCACTATGTTTTTTTTTTTGTTTGTTTTTTGTTTTTACCAATCTAATATCTTGCTTTGCTTCAGTGAGTGGAGAGTCTCCTCCGAACCTCCCCAAGGACCTGACCAGCTCACTGTCCACAGACATCGGCTTCGACGTGGACTCCCAGTTCCCACTGGATGATTTAAAAATCGACCCTCTGACTCTGGATGGCCTGCACATGCTGAACGACCCGGACATGATTCTCGCCGACCCCGCCACAGAGGACGCATTTCGCCTCGACCGCCTCTAGTTCTTGCTCTCCATCGCTCACGTACCTGAACTGGGCCGTCCAGCACTTCTGCCTGAGCAGAGCAAGCGATTCCACTCAATCGAACCCCTGACTGTGAGTTTTTCAAAAACAAAACAAAACGAAAAAAATCCTATGTGGGAAATTGCATGGAGAAGCTCGAAGACTGCTTCTAGCTTCTGGCATAGGGTAATCTCTAGATGGCTTAGTCTCTATATTCACCATTCGGGTCGCTTTTTAACACCAGGCTAACTGTTTGAGGTAGCCGGACGGCAGCAGAGACAGCCTGGTGACTAGCTACAGTTAAAACAATCAGCATATTCCAGTCCAGCTGCCTGAGTATTTTGTTGATTTAGAGAAAATCCAGAAAAGGTAGACTTCTCTCAGTCTAGCTTGGGTTTTGTGCTTTCATCTTGACGGTTTGTGATATATGTATGCCCCAAGAGGCACAAAGTCATCACTTTATTTTTAGGCTATTTCTGAGAATGGATTTTATCAAAGGGAATAGGAGTCATCATTTATGCATGAAATCATAAATCACTGTGGATACTTGTTTTGCCTTAAAAGCTTGACGTTTTGGTTTTCATTGCAAAAAGATAAACAACAAAAAAAAGCTAAGAAGAAATTTTTACGGAGTTACAAGTTGCTTGTCCTGCATAATTTACCGTTGTGTTGTCACTACTGCCTCATAAGTCAGAACCTAACTGCGGATCCGCTCAGTCTTGGTGAAGAAAACAATGTTTACAGACTCGTTCTGCTTTACTTGTACAGAATGTGGTTGGATTTTTGCGTAATGATATCTATGCAAAACTACGGTGACTGGGAGGACTGGAACGTGGGAACTGGTTGAAGGCAGAGTCGGGGGTTCCTCTGGAACGCACGTGAATGTCTTTCAACAAACATTTCTCTTTCATTTTAAGGTCAAATATGGAATAAAATAGAGTAAGCATGGCTGTCGCTGGACATTCCTGGATTCCTCCCAAAGATGGGACCTCAGTGGGTGAAACCTATTTTTCCAGTCAGCTGAACTGCCAAACAGCACTGTTGATGCACTGAGAATGTACTTAGTTTACATCTGTGTGGTTGTGATGCTGTCATTTTGTTATCCTCATTCCCTCCTTTTCTATTTTTTTGCTATCTGTAGAGCCAAACACCTTCCACCTGTTACTTTAAGCACACATCTGAGTTTGGTTGTTTTCCTGCCATGTTTATGTTGTTTTTGTCTTTAATTCATCTTTCTGCTGTTGAGGTTTGTCTTGATGAAGTCTTGATGTCCTTTTAGGTGGGTGGTTTCCCTCACTTTGTTCACTATGTTCCATATCTTTTTTGCACTTTATGCTTTCATTCGAAAACACAGATTCAAGAGTTTCTATATGGAGCGCCCCATCCTGTGACTGTTAAATGAACTGGACCTGTTTGATCTGTCTTTGTTCAAACCTGCCTTCTTGTACAGACAAAGGAGAAAAAAAAGAGGAAAAACCCAAAAAGCTAAATTAAAATTATTTTTGAAAAACAATAAAATCAGGATAGTTTATACAAATGTGTTTTTACTCAACTAGGTTGTATTTTAGAATTCCTGTGTTTAAGCATTTGGTCACTGCAGCAGATTCTTCTGCTACAGTCAGAGGGCCTGGGATATTGACAATAATAATCACACAGTAGAGATGGAAATAAATATGTATCATAAATACATTTAGGGATGCACAATATTTTATGTTGTTTCTACGTCTGGTTTAAGCAAGAGATGCACCAATCATTGTGTTCTGACTGGATACCGATCTCTGGTTTTGTGAAGCTTTGAGCTGCCAAAAGGAATGTAACAATTTCTCATTTCTATTCAGGATCTATGGAGTATAGTATAATAAACTGCCATTATAGCTCCAATGTCTGGACTGGTCATTTTCAGAGTTGGGTAATGAAGTTGGAGTAACATTACTTCAACTTATTTTCAATCTGCAAAAGTGAAAACTAGTGACGTAAGTAAGAGTATACAATCTAAATATTTTCTATGGTTTTAAGCTTTAAAATTTCATATTTTCCAACACTTCTTTGTGCATCTCTAGTTTAAATCTACATCTTGACATTAGCTGAGGCTGCTTTTGACCATTTCAGAATAATTTGGTATATTAAAATAGGTAGTCTATAGGTTTGGTCTAAAATGTTGAAGTGCTAAGCTGAAAATGAAGCTGGATGTATAGGTATCCAGGATCTGAGCCAGAAAATCAGTCCAGGTGAAATTTGTTTGAGAATAAAAACAGGCTCTTTTCTTGGTCACTATGTTGGGTCACTTTTAGCCAGTGGAAAAAAAATTTTTATTCTGCAGCTGCAATGATTCCTTCTTAAATGTGTTTTAAAGACTATTTTACTTCTCCTGTCACGGTCTGAAACAGAAACATTGGTCTTTTATTTTCCTACTAAATGCATGAAACTTCAGACATGATTTCTCCTTTTGTTGGTGATTGTTTCCTCTGAATGTTGGGAGACATTTAGTTTAGATATTTAAAGGTGTTTTGTTTTTGTTTCTGTTTGCTAAAAATATGTTGTCATGTTAAACTTGTGTCGTGTGTGTAAGTAACACCTAAATATGTACAGTGATGAACCTTTTATGCACATGTGGAAGCTATTGTTTTGGCACTGTGTTTAATCTGCAATATACAGTGCGTGCTTATTTTCTGTGCAACACCCACAGAATTTTATTATGTCAAAGTACCTGTGAGATAGCTGTGTATATTGCTGTACTGTAGGAACAATGTTTTTTTTGTGCTTACTGTGATATGTCAAAATGGGAAAATGCACTGAGAAATACTGCTGGATCTCCGGACTCTAAAGTGAGCCTGACGTTTTGCTGGCTCTTTTTTTTTTTTTTTTCACCTTTTCCGTTAACTTTCTTTAGCTAATGTGTCGTCTGTATTTGTCACTTCTCTATACATCGGCGTTCAGGTATCCATTGGTGAAGCACCAGTGTTTACAGAGACAATGGTTTACAACAGGGCAAAGTTTGTTTGCCAAAGCCTTCACCGTAGTTTCCACCCTGTATCTAATGATCAACTGCACTGTAGTTTAGGAAAACAGTTCAGTTCCTTCGCTTCAATGCTGGGAGGATAATCTTTGTATTGATGAAAAAATGTAGATTTACTTCCGTGAGGTTAGTAATTAGACGTTTCCTTTATGCCTCATCCTCATGTGTTTCATGACCACAAAGTACTGCTGTTTGGTTGAAATTTCCCATTCCTCTGTTCTTGCTTTATGCAAGTGCATTGACAAAGACTACTAGCACGTTTGCATCTGAGTAAATTTGAATATCATTGAAAAGTTACCGTATTTTCTGCACTATAAGGTGCACCGGATTATGAGGCGCACCTTCAAAGAATGGCTTATTTTAAAACTTTTTTCATATATAAGCACACCACATTATAAGGCGCATAGAATAGACGCTACAGTAGAGGCTGGAGTTACGTTATGCATCCACTACATGGAGCTGCACTAAAGGATGAATGTCTAAAGCCACTTTGTTGACATACAGTATGTCAACAAAACAGTCCGACTCCGGTCGGTGAGGAGAGCCTTCCGCGACTGGGCCAGGGCGTGACCGGACGATGGTCACCCTTCTCCGTTCGCGCACAGCATGTTTGTGGAGAACGTGGTGCTAAATGACCTGCAGACGACCTGATTCTAGACGGTCGGTGGGTAGATAGGTCAGTCAAACTTTATTAACAAACCAGCGTTCTGACAACTATCCCAGCACGCACTGCGCGCTTTTTCTTCTATGGGCGAAAATTAAGTCGGTGGCTGCTTACCGTAGTTGCTAGATGCGGATTATAAGGCGCACTGTCGGGTTTTGAGGAAATTGAAGGATTTTAGGTGTGCCTTATAGTGCGGAAAATACGGTAATTTGTTTCTAAAAGCAAAACCTGTTCGTGCTGCAGCTTTGACTTTGCACAGGAAGATATTTCAAGCATTTATTTCTGTTCCTTTTAATCATTTCAAGGAGCAGTATTATGTAAAATTGACTTTTATGAGGTTTACTTCATGTTATAATGTTATTCCCTCGTCAAATACAAACCTGGAGTGTTGCCTTCATTCTTTCATGCATGTTTGAGAAATCCTTTCACCTTCACGGCAACCATTCAGCTGTGCAGAACATCTAGGTGGACTTAGTCCCGCCTTTGAGGCACAGCTCCTTCTCTGAGCTGCAGTTTCTAAACTTCCGCCTCATAGAGCAGCCGTCCCCCACGACTCCCCTACTCAGCTCCTTCAGACTAGCCAGCTGCAGTTAGCAAACACCTGATGGAACTGTGCATCTGCTGAGCTTATTATGAGCTGCTCCTCAGAGTAACATTGGTAAAAACTTTGTTAAAGGGTTAATAGAGGGGCCATGTTGTAATGACTTCCTGAACGCTGAGTTTCAGAAAAAGCAAGATTTCCTTAAAGAGAGAGGCCCAATTTCAAGATGTTTAATTATGAAGTAAAAGT